TTCGCTCCTAATGCGGAAAAGAGACCGTGCTATTCATTCGTAACCGGTGCCGATGCTGTCGATGCCGACGACCACTTGAGATACACACGTAAAGGCCATCCGCAGACGTCTCCCTTGAGCTAACCACGCGGCGCTCACATCGTTCCACTGTCCTTCGTCAGAATGCCAGGGCTTGCTCTAATCGTAATTCTGGCAAAAGTTATTGATGCTCAGCTTTATCCTACTCTGATACAATCTCGACCTCTCTATCTACCAGCAAATGTGCCACCGAATCTGCAGGTAGGGGTAAGAGAATTTGCTTGAAATACTTTATTTTATTGCTAAACCAATTTTACTCTGAGTATCTCATATCTCATAGAGTAAATTAAAATATAGAGAGAAAACAACCAATTGTGTTTGACTAATTAGTACAGATAGACAGGAACCCATTGAAAATTATTAATTTCCATGTCTTAGCTTAAATTCTCTAATTGTAACTCACTGGTTTTCAAGGAACATTGAAATGTAGAAGTATTAGAAATTTGAAAGTATTAGTAATAAGTACATTACATAACAGAGTACGCTTAAAGGTAGTCAATTATTGAGGAATTAATAAAAAATGACTGGAAAGTACTGGAGCTTTTGTATGAGATTGATCATTTTCTATCCCTGCAAGAGAACAGGTGAAGCCAGTTAGAATTGAGATTAATATGTATTTTGTCAAAAAGATAGCATTCTTTCCATTGGCGTAGGTTTAAGCAGGATCCCAGTTATTTTGCCCTTTAAAAAAATATTTGGCCTTCCTCTTTTATTGCATACACGGACTTAGTTTATGCAAGCTCGTTTTTGAATCTAATTCGATAATGGGGAAGTTTTAAACGCGTGATTTTAACTATAGTGGAGAACGTATTGTTGCAGATAAGGTAGAAATTTTAAAGATTGTAAATGTCAAACAGCCAGGAAACACTTGAATTTCTACCGCAGTTTTTAAACTCTTTTGTGTTCTAGCAAATGTCGCGCACACATAAAGCAATGCATCCACTCTTTACTGTGTTACGATCTCATTCGAAGATGTACTTGTCGTTTCTTCTTTCAAGAGTTTTTCATCCGCCACTTCTTTGATGTCTTGAAAAAATACAAGCAACCGCCAAGGTCTCTGGCGACCAGACCTGGCTCATGCCTTTGAGGACATACCAAGTTCTTCCTGCTGGTTTCAACTTAAAACAAGAGAGGGCGGGAGAGGAGGGAGGGGGTAGGGAAGAGGGTAGACAAAACTTCTGTTTTGAGATTCTTATATTATTTAGACAACTTCACATGTGTATTAATTCATTGCCTATTCAAGAGAGCATTACCTTACCTTACCCTATCTTATTTCAGCTCGCCGGTGCAGTACCTATCTACGAACC